ATTTCAGGAACATGTCTTCACATGAAATCAGGTGACTCTGCAATCAACACAAAGGCTGTGGTTCCAGATATAATTTCATTGTTTGATTTGTGCCTCAGATTACAGGTCTACGTCTGATTCAGCAGATTTTCTAGGGTCAGATTCTCATCTTTCCTTTTCAGTGTTTAAATAAATGGTGATTAGCGCCATGAAATTCTTCGGACTGTGAAGGGAGAGGAGACGTTCGACAGGTACATTCCTGTATGCACAATTTATTGATGTCAAAACACAGTTTTAGAATAATGGACTAAAAAGAATTTTTTTTTTTTTTTTTATTGATGTCAAAACACAATTTTAGAATAATGGACTAAAAAGAAATTTTTTTTTTTTCATTTTTGCAGAGCAGCTGATTGTTGATTTCACTTTAGGCCCAGTGAATTGGTGCTTCAGTTAAAGGCAGTAAAATTTTGTGACACACTCTTCAGTTGTTCATTTGCTCCACTTTCTCTATCCTGGGAGCGACTGCGGCAGCTTTGTGAATCACCCGCAGCTAGGTGAGTAAGCTGCAGCTCAGGCAGATAACAGAAAACCAATGAGGCATCTGAACTGCTGCTGCGTGGACAGTGTGGAGAGTGTCTCTCTGCTGCAAAGACTCAGAGGCAGTGTCCAGATGCAGCACGGAGATGCTGCAGTGTTGCCATGTGTGCACCAGATGAAACCCCTCCCCCTCACTCTGCTCCCCTCATGGCCAGATACCTCACTGTAGGATGCTCGCTGGATTCCTCCCTCCCACAAAAGCAGAGGGGACACCTAGTGGATTTAGCGTCTAACTACAGTCCCTCCACACCACCGCTGCCCTTACTCTGACCTGCACTGCATTATAAGCAGAATAATTTATGGTTTAATTTACAGCACACAGCAGGACACGGCAGGGGGATGGGAGTTCCTGGTGTAGAGAGTTGTACTGTCAACACCCAGATTAAAAAAAGTTTGCAGTGTCGCATGAAGCAGACGATAATCTCATTTGGCTCCATTAGCCAGAAGATTCTCTGCTGTGTGTATGTGTCTGTTCCTGTTTGCCTTTACATTCTCCATTAGACCCATGGGAGGAATTAATCTCCCATTTCCATGCCTGAACACAGGTCTCCGTGCTGCATAATTCTCTTTCCCAGGATTCTGCGTCGTGCCGGACTGGTAGTCTGGAGCTCATTTATCATAGCTGTACAGTGATGCTCGTGAAAACCCCCCCAAGTGCTAAAGCCTCCCCCCTTCCCTCTGCCATCCCTCATTCACTTCACATCAGCCAATAATCTGCCTGTGAAATTACAGTGGAGGTGAATTTATAACCCAGCTCACAGTGTGGTAAGACTCACCTGAGCGATCACAGATGTAGACGTCAATATTTTCACTGAAGTTTCTCTCAGTCTCACAGAGACATAAACATTGATTTAAGGATATTAACCTGCGTTTGTCAATAAGTTTTAATCAGATGCTGTGGTGGAACAGGGAGTTAGTGTCAGTCCAGTACACACGTGCTTGAAGTATGGTTCAGAAAAGAACAACAGGAACAGAGGGTGCACTATAGATTAATGCCTTGGCTCTAAAGCTGCGCCGCCACCTAGTGCCTCATCAACCCTCACTCGTCACCCATTACATTACAATTCACCCGGAGTCATCTGATTGGCTGCTTCAGGTCACGCCACCTTCACTGCTCCACCAATCACTGTACCCCTTTAGGTAACATTCAGTATTTACACATCCACCAAAGTCCAGCCACCGCCATGACATGGAGCTAACATTTGATGCCATCACGAGCGTAAAGAATTGGAAAAGACAGAAAATCCCATTTCCCTGAATATATTTCTGTAGCCCCAGCCTCAGACTGTAAAATATTATTAAATATTAATGTTGGTGTCAATGATGGTCACAGAATGCCCCGGGTGATATACAGAAGCTGAACCTTCTTCATTCCCTGCGGCTCCACCCTTCTGTGGCTGTCACAGTGGATCGACTAAATCCATCTCACAGCATCACTTGCCTCCTGTACAGTAAACACAAATAGCTTGGTGTCAGACTGGTCAACGTCCACGAATCAGCTGTTGTTTTCCTCTAGTCCTCCTACAGTCTTAACAACCACCTTAATAACTATTAAGCCTGGCAAAAATGTTATCGCTGAATAACCCCATTGTATGTAACTAAGGATGTCCGATAATATTGGCCAACCGATAACATCAGCCCGATGTTATTTGTAAGACTCGTTAGTGTTTTTTCCTCCGATTACAAAAATCTGATAACGCAATGCCTGGGTTTTGACAAATGATGTGTGCCTTAAAAATTGATTTGGGGAAAAACGCCTGTATATGCAGGTGAAAGCCATTAGATGGTGGCATAGCAGGCCATTTTATTAAGCTATTTCAATAATCAGGGGATTGTATACAGAATACTGCCAGTTACTCATACAGTGGTTTGTAATAAATAAATGTTACTAGGCCCTTAATAATATTTCAAATCATATTAGCATTTATATATCGGCATATAATATATGCCGATAATGTAATGTCTCCTTCATATTAGATGTCAGCAAAAAGTTAATATCGAACATCCTGAGATTTTACCCTAATTCTTCTTGACCATGAGGGTGAGGGTTTTCAGTAATAACTAATAGGACTACCAGTAACTACCTGTTACCATGTCAGAGGAGAGCATTTTCTACCTGTTCCGTGTCACTGTTATTTGCCTCCAGTTTAGTAAACGGATACATTTTGTAACAATATGACAGAATTTCAGCATTAAGTGTAGAATGTTTTCAAAACTCTGCTCATGTGTGATGAAAGACCTCATCTGCATTACAACACTGATCACAACTGCCAAAGTCACAGAGCTGTGTGTTTCCCCTGGGCTGTAAAAATAATGCCTTTGTTTCCTGTCTTTCTACCTGTCTTTCTGTCACTGCACATCTGTCGCCATGCTCTTCTAAAAAGGCAACTTTGTTGACACTCATGTTTTTTTCAGAGCTCAAAGACACATGAGCGATTTGTGATGTCTGATTGTGGCAGTGTTGGGTGATTATTACAGAGCCTGTGGTGAATGACACTCAAACACACTGACAGAGGAAGCTCTGACTTTTTTCTGCAACACACTTCCTGTTGTGTCAGAGTAGTTTGTGTTATCACGCTATGTGCACCAGAAAAATCTCGTTCCCTTTTTGATTCCCTCACGGTCACTCTCACATCGTGTCTGCTGGGGGTCCTGATCTGTCCGTAGGGCTGGAGGTGCGGAGGACTGTGCTGTCCAACGCAGTGGCTCTGGCGCATCATCATGCGGCGAGCGTTCAGTGTGTTTAGAGGTTACAGGAGACCCGGGGAAGATGACGACGAGGTGTTTGTTTGCAGCCGTGGAAACAAGGTGACGTAACAGATTTGGAAGGTGATGGAGATGTATGGCTTTGGATTCTTCATCATTACAATATTATGGAGTGCAATGTATGGATGTCTGGAAAAACTTTTCCAGCTCAGCCTTGTCTTTTTTGGTGCAGTGGCTGCAGTCAGTGTGATGGTTGATGTTCTGTGATGTTCTATGAGGAAGAGTCAGTGCACTACTATACTGTTGCATAACAATGTTAGAGCGTCTGCTGTCTGAATCTGATGAAGGGCAACACGGTGGAATAATGGTTAGAACTCTTGCCTAACAGCAAGGCATCCAGTCTGATGTATATAATGTTTCAATGACAGTAAAGGCGAGGAAACAATTCACTTAAACCTGTTTCACTCTGCAATGTCTGTTCATTCTAAATACCTCACACACCGGCTGCTGCTACTTCCTGTGTCTGGACTGAATGGAAACTAAATGCGTTTGACCCCAGCTTCATTTTCAGAACACATTTAATCAGCTGCACCGAGACTCTGCCTTTATCACATGATCAATCCCTCCTAACCCCAATTAATTCTGGAACACACTGGCAGACATCTGTGTTGTGGTGAGCGATGACTCAGAACTCTCGTTCGGCCCAGTCATCTCTTGGTGGTTCGCCTCCAGGCCGAAACACTTGCTGTGCGTTAGAGTGGAATGGCTAATAGAAATGAGAGCAGCAGGAGGAGACGGAGAGATTTCCAAAAGTTCTGAGTTTGAATATCTGTGTCTATAGAACAGTCAGATCTGTTCAGGCACACACACACACAGATGCTCCTCATTAAAACCAGAGGGGGGCAGTGTTGCTGTCCCTGACTTCAGCTTTCACTTACAGCTTTTGCATTTGGACATTACAAAAAAACAAAAAAAACAACAGTTTTGTCGTCTGATCTTTTGTGGCTTTTTTGTCACTCCCAGACACAGAACACCAATGAAACCCATAATATTTTTTTTCACCAGCAGGACGCCGTTGAATGCTGTGAGGTGTAGCCATGGAAACGTAGCTTTCTGGCTTTTGTGTTGTGACCTTCAAACGCTGCCAAGTTTTTTTTTTTCTTTTTGTTGACTTAAAAGAAAACCTGCCGTGTCGGCGTGGACACAGTGAGGCCACGATTAGAAATAGTGTTGTTAGTTGTTCCTCAGTTGACAAGTATAACGTTTACTGATTTTAATCTCTGATAAAATCTTTGTTCCTTATTTACTTCTTCTTCTTGTCGTATTTATTCAAGTGTTGTTGACGACACGGTTGCTAAAGAATGGACTTTTCTCCTGACAGATGCAGCCCCTCAAAGTGTCCTTGGGTAAATACTGATTTTGTCTGTGCAGACGGCACTCAAACGCATCTCACTCTAACACAGATGTTTAAGGCATTTAACAGGGATTTACTCCTGAGTAAACGTGGACAAGAGCAAAGAAGTCAAACATCGAGGGTCTTCCTCCTGGGATCAAAACCAGAATTTAGTAAATTTCTGCTCTAGCTTAAGAATTTATTCCTAATTGTTTTTAAAGATCACACCTTGTTTATTAGTTTTTTTGTTTTTTTTAATTAAGAAATGTTTGCACCATATCTGCTGATTTGACCATCGCTGACCTGTCGTCTCTTTTTCCTCCAGACAACGTCACCTCCAGGCCAGGGCAGGTCAGACTCTCCAGTTTACACCAACCTCCAGGAGCTGAAGATATCCCAGTCCAGTCTGCCTCCCGTCCCCTCTGGCTCACCTCTCCACATCCTGGGAGACTGGGAGACCCACAAAGATCTGAGCGGCAGGCATTTCTACTACAACCGTGGCACGGGCGAGCGGACCTGGAAACCGCCGCGCACCAGAGACACAGGGGGCAGCACCAGCAGCTTCAGAGGGGAAAGCCAGAGCATAGCAGAATATGAGGTAAGGGGTTAGGGGTAGAATTTATTTGGGTAATCAGACACTTAAAAATACCTTTGGGTTACGGCCCAGACCCTTGAGCAGACAGAGGAACTGCGACTGTCAGTGTTGTCGGAACAGACGGTGGTGAGTGTGTGGGGTTGTGGTTACTGAACGTAAGGAAACGAGAGTAGCTTTGATGGAGGGAAGTTATGGTTTCCTGTTGGGTTGTTTTCACACCTCAGGCTTGTTCAAACTGCCACCATGTGGTGATTTGTTTTATTGCATTATCATGAATGGGGAAGAGTGTGGTGGCAAATTGATATTTACCGACTTAGATGAATGATATTTTTTTAATTTTAGGACAGTGTTCTGCAACCTTCCAAACCTAGAGAGCCATTAAAAAAAATTCCAGTAACTGCTATGTACTTTCTGTCAATCATGGTTC